ATCTTGCAGGATGGTGAGGAAGCACTCGCCTCCCTCGCAGAGCAGGCTATGTATAGCTCGGCACATCGCCAGCCAAGATGGCCCTTGTGGCTCCTGAGTGTTCACCAGGGGAAGGAGCTCAGCCATTAGGACCTGGGGGCAGTGCAAGGCCAAGGTCTCAGTGGGGCCTGCCCCAGCTGGCAGCCCCAGGACAGGCTTCAGCATTCTAGCCTCTCTCCCTGTGCAGCTCATCCGGCACATCAATGTACCTGGTGGTCTACACATGGGCCTGAGGCTTACCCCCACCCCACCCCACCCCTGTCCTCCAAGGGGATCTTGGAAAAGGAACATCATACCCTAATCCCAGGCCTCCGTTCTTATAAACTGAGCCTTCAGGTGGCTCCAGAGTCAGCCCTCCATATGGTAACTGGCTCCACGGGTGCCCAATTGTACACTGCCAACTCATGCTCTGAAAGTACCTTTTCCAGGTGAATCTGCTGCTCCAGCATGGCCACCCGCAGCTTCAAGGTTGCCAGGGTCTGCAGCTCCTCGGTACTGGAGTAAAGGAGGAGCTGGGGGCTCCAGGCAGGGTCTATTCCACCTCCACAGGGTGATGAAGCCTGGGGGAGCCTCTCCACAAGACATGGTACTGGCAGCTGTTCCCTCACAGCTGCGAGGACACGAGATATGTGGTCTCTTGGTATGGCACCCATGCCCAAGGGCCAGGGTTCATTCATGGGTCAGTACCTGACTTCCCAGGCACTTCCCTTGCCTTTAAGGAGTGCAAAACAACAGTGTGTGGCAGAGCATGGGGGTGGCCTGGGATTCACAGCAGCCAGAGACCTTCGTGAAGTCTCCTTTTGCCTCTGGGTTTTCCTTACTGGTGTTTACATAACTTTCTTGAGACTGACTTTGTATTTGAAGATAGAACCTTCCCTCTTAAAATTTCAATCAATTAAAAAATGTAAAGGATAAAGAAGCCCCATGACTCACCTCCCAGTATCTAATTCTCAAATGCTGCTTTCTCAGTAACTGAGTAAATGAGCAAACTGCTTAGGCTGATAGGTTGTTGGTGGAGAGGAGTAGGATAGAGGACCTGTTCTGAGCAGTTGAGGACAGCTGGCTGGTCCCACAGGACAACTGGTAAGAACCCAGAACACTGTGTGTGGGTGGAAAGGGCCTACCTGTCTCTGGTGCCAGGACTGGTCATCCTTCCTTAAGGCATGGGCAAGATGCGCTAATGTGCCCCGACCCTGGTTAAGACCTCAGCACAGGTGGCAGCAGGGGGCAGGGTCTCACCTGTACGCAGCACCTGCAGCCTCTGAAGATACTGCCCAACGATGGCTTGCAGCCCCTCCAGAGTGAGCAGACAGCGGTACTCCTGCATCCAGTCAGCAGGGGCTACTCAACAGTCAGGGAGGGCAGGGTTGGTCCATGCCAGTTCTGAGACCCTTCCTGTGACTGCCCTCCACACCCCCACTGACCTGAGGAGAGCTCCTCCTGCAGGCGTAGTCTCACCATCACACAGGCCTTCTGCAAGCGCTGAGCCTCCAGCTCTATTTCCACAGCACTGAGCCTGGGGCCAGGCCAGCCTGACTGACTATGGGTCAGGGAAACTCCCCTGAGTCCAGGCCCCACCCATGTCCTGCCAGGTTAGAGTCAGAAGCACCCCCCTCACCTCCACTCCTGCAAGTCCAGTAAGCACCCCCACTCCCAACTCCTGCAAGTTCAGCAAGGATACAGTTGCCTGCAGTTTCTGCAGAAACTGGGCTTTGGCAGTGCTGGTGGCATCTGTGGAGTTGCTGGTTTGTGTAGAGTTGAGCTGGGCCCATAGGCTGAGATGTGCATAAGAGCACCCAGGAACCAGAGAAGGATGCCATTATTCCAGCCAGCTGGGCTGAACCACCCAGGGAGGGGCCAGAGGCTGGGTGTCTATTTCTGCTGAAAATCAGCAGGAGTCTCTGGGGGAACCTAGAGGACACTGACCAGGACAAGGAAAGAGCTGACCCACTCTAGGAAGTGCTAAAGAGAATTCAAGGAAGGAGAGAAAAACCAGCAGTGACTGGTAACTATAACTGAAAAGAGACCTAGGTGCTTGCTCTGTACTAATTACAGCACAAACATCTGAAAGGCACCATTTGCTTAACCCTCCCAGCATCTCTGTGAGTTTGGGTCTGGTCACTGTTGCCTCTAGCTCTAAACTTGGCGGAGGGAAGACAGACTGAGACTTGGAGACACCAAGTGTCAAGTTCAAGCCTTGCAGCTGTGAGTGGCTGAGCTGAGGGTATCAAGGCCACTGAAGCAGTGCTAGCTAGTCAGGCTCTGAAGATGGACAGTGCCACCCAGTTACAAAAGCAGAGGGACCTACTGGAATGTCTTGCCTACATATTCCCAAGCTTTCGATGTTTTCTGTCCCCATCCAGCCTTACCGGGAGTTCTGGGAAACCACCTTCCTAAAGTTCGCAGGCAGCTGCAGCAGGGTCCTGTCAGAGAAGCCAGTGTTCAAAATAGTCTCATCTCACTCTCAGGGCTGCTAGTCCTGCTCAGAGTCTATCAGTGGTGAGATCTCATACCCCTTCTCCCTCTCCAGTCATTATCAGACAAGACCCCCTTGGAAGGGGCTTCCCGAGTGACATGGAAGCCAACCTAGTCCAGTACTACCCTTGCAGAGAGAATAGAGGGCACCATGAACAGAGGGCCTGAGACCTCTAGTGGTTCCCATCTGGGTAGATAAGTGAATAGCCAGGAAGAAGAGGGCAGGTAAGGCTCCAGAATGTAAAACCTGTACAATCCCAGATTGCTGCAAAGCATGAGCCTCATGAGGTGGTACTCCAGGGCTCCCAAATGTAGCTGTGTGCCCTGCCTTACACCAAACCCCAGACTCCTACAGATGGCCAAGGTCTGAGTGAATAAAGATGGCAGATTTTCCAGTGAGGGTCTGGGAAACCTACCCCTTCTCCTTGAGTGTGAAAGTTTCTGCTGCCTGAGGAGCAGCTGATTGGGCCATCTGTTCATGTCTGAGGCCTGGTCCACAGCTAGTGGCCCTGGCTTCTATTGCCACATGGGAATTATCTCCCATTGACAGAAGCCTACGTTCAGGGTGGTCCTTGGCAGGCTTCCTAGGCTGGTGGATGCCCTTGGTAGCTTTTGCTCCAGAGGCACGGCTGCCAGCCCCACTCAAGGCCTGGGGTGGTGCTGATGCAGTGGTGTCAGGAGAGGCAGGAATCGGTCCAGATTTCAGGCGCAGAGTTCTGTCTTTTTCTCCAGCCTTAGAGATGCCTTTCCTCACCCGTACTGCCTTCTCCAGTGCCTGGGTTAAAAGCTCCAGCTCTTTGAGGTCCTGGGTGCTTGGTGTGTATGCTGTGAAAGCCAAAAATCATGCAGAAGTCCTCTCCACTATTCCAGGATGGGTCCCTCATCACTGCATGCCAGAGCTGGGCCAGTGGCTGCACGGGGAAAGGGTGGGTGGCCGAGATTTACCTGAAGTCAGGTCCTCTTCCTTATTTTCTGGCCTTGGAGGTGACTCCGGAGCCTGAGACCTGGCTGGTTCCCTGTAAAGACAGGGTATCTGTGGCCCGAACAAACCCCACCCCGGCCCCTCCTCCGCCTCAGAACCTGCAGGGTAAACTGGGTGGCACTGACAACCGAAACCTCGGAAGTGGGAGGCTGGGCCCGACCTCTCAGCCTCTGAGATTCTGCATGATTCCGAAGGGCTCCCGGGGTCCACGTACCAGGCCCGCAGCAGCCTTCGGGAGATGCTCAGGCTCCGATCTAGCTGCCGCTGTCGCTCTGCGCAGGCGTCAAGGGCACCCTGCAGCTCGGCCACAAGCCTGGAGGGACGCACGGTCAACTCAGCACCCCGACAGGCTTGGTGCCCCGCACCAGCCAGCCCCGCTCCCGCCTCGCCAGACCCACCGGCGCGCGCAGTCGGCCGGCAGCATGGACTCCAGCTTGGATTTCCAGCGTTTTGCCGCCGCCTCCTGGCTCCGCCCCTTCCACATAAAGATCCGCCCCTTCCTGCCGGCTACCCAATCCTGAGCCTAGGACTCAGACCCGCCTCAAGTTCCGCCCCAAAATGCAGGTTCCGCTTCCAGAGGTCTGCTTGGGACTCCGCTCCTGCTGGGCTCCGGGCTCCGGCCCATCCGACTCCAGAAGTATCTTCTGGGCAGATGGAGGCGCTATTTTCGTGTTCTTCTTGCAGGGAACCATAGTTTAACGGTTGGCTTTATATCTCTTTTTTTTTGGTACCAGGAATTTAACCCAGGGGTGCTTTACCTCTGAACTACATCCTCAATCATGTTGCTTAGGGCCTCGCTAAATTACTAAGGCTGGCCTTCAACTTGGAATCCTCAGTGGGATTACAGACATGCCCCCACCGCGCCAGGATTGTTGACTTTGTCTCAAACAGCCCTCATTGAAGGCAACTCTAAAGCAGGCACGAGCTGTCTTGCTGACCCCAGGACCATCTACCACAGGGTCAGGAACATGGACTAGGTGAGAATGACTTGTTAAGATCAAGGAAGGGACAGAGGAAGTGTTCATTTTTGGACATAGGGATGAAGTGATGACATCCTGGGAGGTATCAGATAGAAATCTGGATATAGGGAATGAAGCACAGGAGATCTGGATCATGGCACACTTGGGCCTGGCAAGATGGCCCAAGGTTGGAGGAAGCGGGTGGCAAGGAGGGTAAGCTTCTCAGAGAATGGCAGCAGTCAGTGTCCAGGAGGCAGCCATGGGCAGGCGCTTCTGCTAAGTCCTGGGCAGTACGGGTCTTGGGAGTGTTGGACAGGGAGTGGACAAGGCATTCAGTGACCCAGGGAACATTTGGGTCAGTGGGAGGACTGTGGGCACAGATATTGCTGAGGACGAAGTGTGCAGTCAGGGGGCACCAAGGTGACTATCAGGCCCTGGGGGTAGACAGGGAGACCCATACCACAGTCAGGTGGTCCAGGCATTGCCTAGAGTGTTTCTTACAGGTGCAGGCTGGGAGAAGACAGAGAACTGAGTCCATCCAGAGGTGGGATTCTCATCAGAGAGATTATGAAGGGTCAAGGCAGTTCAGGGATGCTTCACTCCTGTGCCACTGTCCCCATCACATTTAATCCTCACAACACCCCTGTGAGGTAGGTTATCATCGTCCCATCTTACAGATGAGGAAACTGAGGCTCACACATGCCCAGGGGCACATGGTGGAAAGGACAGGTTTACAATTCCAACTCCTGGACTTTCCTCAACCCAACCATGCACCACCCAGGGTGGTCAGAATTCTTGTACAGTAGCAAAAAAGACAGCTGCCACAGTGAAAACACACACACACACACACACACACACAGAGCAAAGCCACTACCAAGCCAATATCCCCCTTCCCTATACTTTTGGTTCAAGAGCTTTGGGGAAACTGGCCAAGTGGTTCTTACCTTTGAAAGGTAATAAAAGTACTCCAGCAGGGTCAGAGTTAGGATAAGTGATCAGCCTTTGGTGGGCTCACATGCATCCAGGCAAGTGCTCTACCACTGAGCTCCATCCAAGCCCTGTCATTTTCAAAGTAGGAAGCCACATCTCTGGCCAGCTTGGAATCCACAGATCTGCAGTTATCAGCCATGGGCAAGCCCTCTGATATTCTTCCTCTTGATTACCTCAGATATCATGACTCTTTTTCCAGCTAACCTCTCTGGGAAAATTCTGTTTGCACAGTGTGCCAGGATAGCACCAAAGGGCTAGTGTCACATGTTCTTTTTTTATTTGAGCCTAAATAAAGTTGGGAACATCCTCTCCAGTTCCCACTTTTATTTTTCCTCTATTTTAACTTTTAAAAAAATTTTCATTTTAAAGAAATATAGAAATAAAAACAGGAAAAGAATGGCCCATAAATTCAGTGCAAAGAGAGATATTCATATGGACACCATGAGACACAGACCACTCTGGGAGAAGGGACATATTTCTAAAATAAGTTCAAAGTGCTGGAGGGAGGGAGCCTGTAGCCCCAGCTTCAGGGCCCCCATACCCGGTGATCACACTGAAATCCACATCTATATACAGGGTCATAGGTTGCCTTACCATGGGACGTATCACCCAGAAGGGAGTGGATATCCCAGCCTGGCTGAGGTGGGTGAGGGGACAGTGGTGTGTTCAGAGCTGTGAGCTGTGCCAGGATACCTGGGTCACATGAATTTGGAGCTTGAAAGCTACTGTTTCTGGGCATGGGGCTCAGTGGGCCAATGCTGGGAAGAGGAAGACACACATGGGCTTAAGCTCTCAGAAGACAGCAGGAAACATGAGGGTACAAGGACAGGTCTCACATGGTGTGGCATGATTGTTTTAAGGCTATATTTCCAGAAAGGAGCTGAGTGAAACTCGGTGCCCAGGAGTTACCCCTGTTCTCTGTGTGACACCTACCCAGGGTCTGCATAGCACCTATCCACAATGCTTGCTCCCCCCCTCCCCGTCCCCCCCTCCCCCAGTAAACATTCACTATGGCAAACACACACACACATTCACAGCTTCAGGAATCCCAAGTTCACGTCCTTGCCACTGTGCATGGATAGGTTTTGCGGCTTCACCTGCTGCTGGGGAGCACTGCTCCCTGCGGGGGTTGGGGGACGACACTGTAAACATGATTTCTTGGCCTGATGGTGGCAAGGCTGTGTATCTGAGTTGCTGCCCAGAGACAGCACTGAGGTAGAAAGGGGAGGGCCCCCTGAGCCACTGTCCACTGAGTTTGTGGGACTCGCGCTGCTCACGGAGGAGTACCCTGAGGTTGTGACGTCCTTGCCAGGACCCCTCCTGCTATGGAGAAGAGGCCTGGGGCCTAGGGCTGGAGGTGTCTGAGTGCCAGGCACCTGGTGTCCCTTGTCCTCCTGGCAGGTCTCCTCATCACTTGATTCCTGGCAGCAGTGCTGTTCTGGGTTCAGGTACACCACGGTGACATCGAGGACACCACTGGGAGCTGTCACTGTGGAAAATGTCGGTGAGGGGGAGAGAGGTCACACCTCAGCCTGAGCATCAGGGGTAACCCAACAGCCCAGGCTTCAGCTCCTTGCCAAGATAGTTTAAAACATTGTGTTCCAGGACAAATGTCCCCTACCTGGCTATAGTTCCTTAAGTATATGGCTTAGGTGAGAGCTGAGGGTGACATGCTTCTCTTAAGCTGGGAGGGCAGTGGACAGTGACAAATTGGCCAACTAACCACTCAGTCCACCAACAGACATAGATGCAATAGAAACCCTTCCAGGCTGGGCTGGGGACAGGACCTTCTGTGGCCTGCTGAGGGGGCTTGCATACACCACATGGACACATCTCAATGTGCAAGAAAGAGCTTACCAGGACTCCAGAGAGGAGTCTATTTGCCCTATTATCTATTTGTCCCTGCCCTAGCAAGGTCCTGGAGCAGCACAGACCCTGCTGGAGCTGGACACAGAACTTGTCTAAATCATCTCCAGGCCTGTGGGCAAGGCCCAACCCCACCCCTGACTCTACTCTCAGGCTTTTCTGTAGTCAGAGATATGGTAGGAGGTGGTGCTGAAGGCCCTCAGTGTGGGTGGCCTCCCGCCTGATGACCCTTTGCACAGCATGGCCAAACACTCACCGTCACCCTCCTTCTCTCCTTCACTCTCCTGATCGCCCTCATAACCAGAGCAGCAGTCCAGGCTCCAGTCGAGGAAACTGCCCAGCAGCGTCTCTTCCTGGCTGGACAGCTCTGCAGTAGGGGTGGTGACAAAGCTGCCTCTGTCCTCCTGGAGGCTGTTCTCTCGCTTCCTGCAAAGTGGGAAAAATCCAGAAGGCTCTGGTCACAGGCAGCCCATCTGGAGGTCCCGCCTGGTCCTCAGCCCCTGCCTCAATTACCTGCATGTCCCTGGGCCCTCACCTTGTGCTCTGAAAGAGCAGGTGTAAGCCCTGGGGGAAGGATGATTGGACCAAACTGGGCCCAAGTCTGGGTGTGAACCCAGATTCATCCGGGCTGGCTATGGGGACCTGGGCCAACTACTTGGCCCCTCTGGAGACTGGCAGGATGATGCAACCCTCCAGGGTGCTAGTTATATAAGACATGGGTAGTGCCTGGCCTGGCACTGGGCAAAGACAACATGGACAGCCTGTCTTTGGGCAGTGTCAGCATGTTGCCCCCCCTGGGGTCAGAACTGAAAGCTGGAATGTAGGCCTGTCCCTGGGAGATGCTGCCACACTGCTGAGCCTTTCTATTTCCTGACCTTGGGCTGCCTGTGGAGGGTCTCTCCCATTAGACTAAGGGGGCTCCAGGGAGCCTCTGGGAAGCAGGTTTGACACAGTGTGGTTGGGCACATGGCAGGGGCCAGGGACCCCACCCATCAAGGCACAGATGCACATGTCTGTTGGGCTTTCCCCATGGTGGCCCCATCCCTGGACAGTCAGGGTGCCATCAGCAGAGTAAAGTGTAATTGGCAGCCCTCTCAGGAGGACCCAGGTCTCCTGTACTCAGCACAGTAGAAGGTGGTCTGGTGCATTTCAGAGAGGAAGCACCAGGACCAGGGGCTTAGCCTGTTTCTAGATCAACTATTTCCTTAGGGTTCCCCAAAGATTAGGGCTCTATAACCAGGGACCCACTTTCTATAGAACTGTCATGGAGGTGGCCCAACCTGGCCCTGTGTTGTGACAGGGATAACCCAGCTACCCAGTGCCTGCCTTCAGGAAGCTCAGGGGGCACATGGAACGGAGGAGTTATAAAGGTAGGGCTTATCTGGGCTTTGCGGGACCAACAGGAGTTCTTCAGGTGGGCAAGGTAGGGAGGGAAGGTACAGCTACAGCATTAGAAGAGAAACAGGAATAAATACGAATATATACAAAGAGGGAGGGGACAAAGGGAGGAAGGCTAGCAATAAGATATAGGGATAACAACATAAAGCAGAGAAGCCCAGGCTGGCACATGACATATAGGCAGGGCCCGGACCCAGGCGGGATCAAGCGTGCTCAGGACCATCTGCCCCCAAGGGAGCCAGGAGAGAGAGGCAGCCAAGCTGAGGAGCAGGCCCAAGGGCAGACTTCCTGGGTTCAAGGCAGGTTCTTGCTACATGAGATTTGCTGCTCCACAAGTCTCAAAAGCCCCTCGGACAGCTGCATTGTCAGTGAGGGAATTCAGAGCTGGTGAGCAAGGGCCAGCCTTTCATCATAAGACCTGAACCAGGGCCAGACTCACCGTTTGGTTCTCCTTCCGGAGGGAGAACTGAGGAAGGCATGGATTTCTCCTGTGCTAAGGAAAGACGGGGGCTCTGGACTCTCTTGCTTCACTCCTAAGGCCACACACAACTGACTGTGGCTCAGCACCTGAGGGGAGGCCAGAGTCAGTGAGGGAAGCCACCTAAGGCGAGACTGAGGCAGGGAAGATAAGCCCACCCACCCAGCACCCTGTAGACACCCAGGCCGGGGTGAGGCAGCACCTCTTCCTGGCTGACTTCTTCATAGCGCTTGTCCTCAAATCGCTGCTTCACAGCAGTCAGAGAGACTTGTCTGTAGTCCTTGGGGGCATCATCATGGAAGCTAGAAACAGGGACATGGGGGAGGACCCATGAGGACCTAGCCCCAGTTTTAGTCTAACTCTCTGAACTGGAGGGGACAACAAGCTTTTGACACCAGCCCAGTGGTACCAGTGCAGTCACCTTGGAAAAGCTCTTGGTAATACCTCAAATGGTTAAGCACAGTTTCCACAAGTCCCCGTGTTTCACCCAAGAGAATCGAGCACCGCCACACAAGAACTTGCAAAATGTGTTCACAACAGCACTGTTCACAATGGGCAGGGGTAGAAATAACAAAAGTACCATCAGTGTATGAATGGGTAGACAAAAAGCGGTCCATCCATACGGTGGAATTTTATTCAGCCACAAAAAGAAATGGAAGCACTGGGGAGTGGTTTTGTGTGCCTGCTACAGTATCAGAGGCTTGGGAGGCAGGAGGATTGCAAGTTTGAGGCCAGCTTCAGCAATTTAGTGACATCCTGTCTCAAAATTTCAAAAACTAATAATAAAAGGAGGGATGGGGATATGGCTCAGTGGTAGAGCACTTGCCTAGCAGGGATGATGCCCTGGGTTCACTCCCCAGTACTGAAAGAAAAAAAAAAAAGAAAGAAAGAAGATTAAGAAAAGAAAAAACAAATGAATCACCAACACAAGCCTGGAAAACAGCATGGTCACTGTGAGGAGCCGGATAGAAGAGGCTGCCTGTGCACAGGGCAGGGTCGCATCACACAGAACATCCAGAACGGGCAGATCCATAGAGGGAGGGAACAGACAGTACTGCCAGGGGCTGACGGAGTTGGCAGAATTGAAGGATTAGAGGTAAAGGGTCAGAGTGTTTTCTTGGTGCAGGGGTGATGAAAATGTTCTAAAATTGGTAGAGGTGATGGTTGTGTGGACTCTGTGAGTATACCTCAGATTAAGTTGTCCAGTAAAAAAAATTTAGGGGCTGAAGCTGTAGCTCTTGCCTAGCATGTATGAGACATTGGGTTCAATCCTCCCTACCACATAAAAATAAACAAGTAAAATAAAGGTGGGGTATCCATCTATAACTACAAAAACATTTTCAGCTGGGTAGAGTGGCATACACCTGTGATCCCAGTGGCTCAGAAGGCTGAGGCAGGAGGATTGCAAGTTCCAAGGCCAGCTTCAACAACTTAGTGAGATTCTGAGCAACTTAGCAAGACCCTGTCTCAAAACAGTCTGAGGTTATGGCTCAGTGGTCAAGCACCTGGGGGGTTCAATCCCTGGTACAAAAAAAAAAAAAAAAAAAAAAAAATTAAATTTATAAATAAATGTTTCCAATTGAACCAGTTTGAAAAGCAAAATAGACTGAGGGTATAGCTCAGTGGTTGGTTATGTGCTTATCATGTGTGAGGCACTGGGTTCAATCACCAAAAAAAAAAAACAAAAACAACATCAACAAAAGCTCCTGTGTGGGGGAAAGAACCAACACAGCCCAGCAACACCTTCTGGGCTACTGCTGGGTAATGATCTGTGCTCCCAGTAGAGCAAGGGGAGGTCAGAGAGTCAGCCTGGCTCCTCATCCGTCAGTTGTGGGGTCTGGCAAAACAGGGTGGGCCAAAGCACATGCCAAACCCTGAGAAATGCCCCTGAGAATGGAGTACAGTGGGGAGAGAGGAGAAAGGGCAGGTGGGCAGAAAATGGCTGGTCAGAGAGACTGGGAGCTGCTCTGCAGAGTTCTGATCTCATCCTGGAAGTGCTCAGGTGAGGCTCTGGATTGGTACAGCAGAGAGGACATGTTATTGAGAGATGGCTAGGGGAGTGACCAAGGTTCCTGAGAGGACCTAAACCCAAGGTGCTCGAGTGTATGTGGAAAATGTGCCAGACCACAGAGCTCCTAGGCGACAGGGAAGAAGCAGACACAAAAGCAGGCTGATCCTGGCCTCAGCTAGGAGACTGGGCTTGGTCCACTAAGCACAAATGCAACCTACAGGAAGAACACATCCAGAGAGGAGACCAGCCAGCTCAGACACACTGGCAGTCGGGGGCCCAGGGTCGAGTTTAGGTGAGGTCTGAATCTGGTTAAGTCTCCCAGAGGAGAAAATCTGAGGAGTAGGTGAAAGACAAAGGACTCCAAGGAAGGGCAGCACAAGGAACAAGTGGACCTACAGAGTGGGAGGACAAAGTCCCAAAGTGCTGATGAGAAGGCGGGGGGGGGGGGGGGGGGGGCGGAGTCCCAGGCGGTGCTCACTCAATGCACGGTCTGCAACTCTCCACTCAAGCAGGCAGAACTACTGGTCGGCACATGCCCTAACATGGCTCCCCTCTGCCTAAGACCTGGATGCCCACAGGTCCCAGAATGCTTACTTTAGGAGAAGCCTGGCCTTGTCTAAACATCACCCTGCCCCAGCCCCTGCCTGTTTGCTTTCTCTCCAGGGTCCATCACCATCAGACATCCTGTATAGCCCATGCTGCTCTAGCCTCTCCCCCAGCACCTGACCTGCCAGGGGGCGCCATGGACTGCATGGAGCAGACCATCAGTGGACCACTGAGGCTGAGGGAAGTGCCCAGAGAAGATGCAGGTGCACAGATGGGGAGGCAGCAGGGCAGTGGGTCTGAAGTGCAGGTGGGGGCAATAGGTCAGAGCAGAGTGGAGACAGGCACAGTTGGGACTGGTGGTCAGGAGCCCTTGTCTGCTTGCTCCCTGTTCCTCCATAAGACAGAGGATTTATCTAATGAAGAATGTGTGAAATAAGCAGCACAGGGCTGGGATTTTAAAACATTAACTCTGAGAAAGACTTTTCTTGCAAGAAACTCATTATAGGAAGCTCTGTGGGTTGACTGATAGCTGTCACATGAAGAAGCAAAGGCCTTGATAGTACATGAGCGCCACCCCTGCTCTGGCAAAGTCTGGATGGAGGCCTTGTTTCGTCACAGACTCACCACTTTTTATGAAGGCTCAGGACACAGGGAATGAGGTCTTCAAAGGAGAACCCAGTGAGGTCACACAACTGACTGGTCCAGGGCTGTGCTGGGGAGGAGAGCAGGCTGGGAATGAGACTGACATCTGCCACTCCCACCCCACAACCTGCCATTATATTGTAGAGATTCCTGGAGCTCAGGATTGCAGTCCCTTTAAAATGACTTTGATAAGACCCCATATAGACAGACTATCAACTGTCGAAAATCTGAGAAATACTTAAGCTAAAACAATGCTTCCCTTCCCACCCTGAGCTGCCTCTGGTCCTTCTCCAGGATGGACGGGTAATACTTTTTTCTCTTTGGTCCCTCCACCCCAATCCTTACTCTGCCTGTGCATTAGTCTGGCCAGGAGCAGGGCTGCAGAGGCCAGGCAGGCTGGGGCGTAGGCAGACAGGCTGGTGTGTAGCAGAGAGAGTTCACAGAGGAAGCTGCACAGGTGCTGGGTTCTGGGTGCCACAGGAACCAGCGTCAGCAGGACCTCTTTGTAATCAACCACGGTGGGGATCTAGACAGAAATGAGGTGGGTGTGGGACCTGGGGTGGCAAGGCACCTTCTGGGCCCACGAGGACTTCCCAGAGCAGGAAAGCCGATGGATGACCTCCACCTGCCCACTCCCAGGACCTCAAGCATGTTGCAACTTTGATTCAACAGGAAAAAGAAACCCCACTTACCCTAATCTTCCCTTCCAGGGTGGAGATGATTTCTCCCATCATCCTCACCAAGTCCTCATACTTGTACGTGTTATCTGTGAGCCACACGGCCTCACGGATAGTCAGGATCTCCTTGCTGATGAACCTGGGATGTGGAGATGGGGTCACAGCCCTAAGCCCACTTCCCAAGGCAGGGGTGTGACTGGGCTGAGGAGGGCCGGAGGCTCTAGGAGATCTCAAGGTAGGGAAAACATGATGGCTTTGGGTTTTGATGACAAAAGGAGGCTCCACAATGGATCAAGCTGCCTATAGCTGAGAAGGAGCCTTAAGGAGGTAGTCAGAAGGTACTAGAAAGAGGGATTTGGGCACAAATATCTCTACCAATGGCCTCCATGAGTGATGTCATCATCCACCTTAGCAGGGAGGATTTGCCCTACTTTTCTTTCCTTTGCAGTTTGGAACTGAACCCAGGGCCTCATGCATGCTAGGCAAGCACACTACCACTGAACAATACCCTCTGCCCCATTTTTTGTCAGTGTCTATCAGGTGACTATAAAGAATTTAAACCTATGGGGCTGAGGTTGTGGCTCAGTGGTAGCATGCTTGCCTAGCATGCATGAGGCACTGGGTTCGATTCTCAGGACCATATACAAATAAACAAAGTAAAGGTCCATCAACAACTAAAAAATATTAAAAAAATAAAAAAGAATTTAAACCTAGGAGGTTGGGGAGCCACAGAATCAGAAGTTGGAGGCAAAGGGCCAGAAGTAGCATCCGGCCATAGAATGCCGACTGTCCCTGAGGCAGGCGGGCACCCCATTCTTTACGGTCCACCAGCACTGACTCTCAGGAATCACACTGCTCCAACAGCTCTGAAGGCACTGTCTTGAGAGAGTCGACGTGGCCCAGTCTTTGCACTGCTCCATCCAGAGACGGCAGTTTGCACATTTGTCACTGGCTTGACAGGGAGGATGAGGGTATATGCTGCCAGTGTGAAGGGCATAGATGCCAAAAGGAGGGATGCAAGTGGGCTGATGAGAGCCCTGCACTGGGGTCATGCTGGGGACAGCAGGTGCCACGCAGAGCAGAGCTGGTGCATCTTGGCCCTCAGAACCTTTTTAAGCAGATATTACTGCTTGTCTATCATCCAACAACTTTTATTTTAGATTGCAATGAGGTGACTGTGTCATTAGATCCAGGGAGGCAGTGGCTCCACCAGTTCAGCATCTCTGGTCAGAAGACCTAGGAAGTTGGAGTCAGGTCCAACAGAACATTTGTAGAGGGCCCTGGATGGGATATACTAGTGTCTGCTTACTAATCCTGAAGCCTATGTTCCCTCCTTCTGTGGCAATATGACTCTGCTCCAAGCTGACAGTTCCCATCATGAATAGATGTGGCTATGTGACTAAGCTGGAGAGAAAGATAGACAAAGAAGCTATGGGGATCATGGGGACAAAGGCAGCCCTTGGAAGTAGTGACAGAGAACAAGATAGGAGCTAGGGTTCCTCAATAACCTCATGAAACCAACCCACCCCAGAGACCCTGGACCCTCTGAGGTTACCATGCAAAAGAGGAATGAGCTATGCGCAGTGGCGCACGCCTGTAATCCCAGAAACTTAGGAGGCTGAGAAAGAAGGATTGCAAATTCAAACCCAGCCTCAGCAACTTAGTGAGGTGCTAAGCAACTCAGGGATATCCTGTCTCTAATAAAATATAAAAAAGGGCAGGGGATGCAGCTCGGTGGTTAAACATCCCTAGGTTCAATCCCTGGTACCAAAAAAAAAGAGAGAGAGAGAAATGAATCTCTGCTCTTAACATTATTGCTAAGTGCAGCCAAACCTGTCCCTTAACTACCAGGCCTGACTGACAAGGACAGTGGCCCTGGAATGTACTTCTAGTGGCTGGAGGAAATGCCAGGGATGGTGAATTTAGGAAAACAAGAAAATGCAAAATGCATTGTGAGACTGGCTTCCTACATTGCTTCCAATGACAAAACCAGGGTGATCAGGCATCAGTTAAAGACATAGGTCTGGATGAAATGTAAAGTGGTCCAATTTAAAAAGCTGGAGCTGCCAATGGGTAGGCTGCTGTGTTTGGATGCCCCTAATACTGAATAATGTCCACAAGGTGGAACTGGGCTTTACCAAGGTGTCATTGGGGAACTTAAGACCCTCTCACCCCAGGACTGTGGAAAACTCTGACCATACAGACTTAAGAACTAGATCTCAGAGTTGTGGTTCTTCCCATGAACTCTGAAGATGTGAGGGTAAGGACAGTCAACTATACCTTCCCTGACACCACTGCCTTCAGAAGCTGGGGAAGCCTGGTCCAGCCTGTGCCTGCTGGAGTCCACACTCTGGGTCCCGAGACCATGTGCTGGGATGCTCATGCCCTGCACAGTGGCAACCACATGCCAAGGGTCAATTCCATTGTCCCTGTGTGTGGAGGACACCTAGCCTGGATGCCCCATTTTGGGACTCATTTCCTTTAAGAACCAGCCATCAGCACAGAAATGATAGGCACTCCCTGAATCTAGTAAGGGCCAACACATACACATACCAGCTCTGCCATGGAATGAATGGGCTTCTTACCGGGTACAGATGACCATGCAGGCAATGCCCAGCAGCTGGAGTTTGTACCGGGGTACTAGCCTCCTCCGCAGGTAGCGGTCCACACACTCTACTGCCAGGTGGAGGCAAAGACTCGTGAAGTCCTTCATGGTGGCAACTTCTACCAGCCAGTCAATCAGAATGTACCTGTGGAGAGAGAGCCACCCTTGAAAACTAGGACAAGCTTCCCTACATGTCCCAACTCCAATTTATACATAAGCAATTGAGCTGGCAATTTGTAGAATCACTGGTATACCCAGGAACCCAGGCTAGAGACAACATGTCCCAGAGGAGACTCCATGGGTCCCAGCTCCATAGCCACTCCTAAAGGCTAGCGAGCTCCAACATCTCTGCAACCTGCCCCCACCTCCAGGCATGCACATTCCTGGTGCTCATAAATACAAGTGTTTGGGGGCCTTTTCCTAGATTAGAGTCAGCCCTCACATGTTTGTGGTATTGGAGGAGCCTAACCCTTGCAGGTAAGGGGGCCAAGTAGGGTAGTCTAGGGCTGGGGTTGGATCACTGCTCTCAGAACCAGAGAAAAGTTACTCAAAGGTGGAAGAACTTTGGCTCTTCTACGCATCCAAACTCAGCCAACCAGTTTATTTATAATAATGCTCTGCAAAGGATGGAAGAGCCAGGAATGCTCCTAAAGCAAGAGCCACTGGTATCTTCATGAATCATCTGGAAACCCTGATGGATGTCCAAGGGATGACAGACACTGTTCCTCTCCACCAGGGGAGTAAACCCAGGGACCAGGGTCACAATCACGAGAATCCTGCAAGGATATCTGAACAAGGTCAATTCCTTTCTGAATGAAGGAGACACTGTCTTAAAGCAGAGTGAGTCAAACCAACAGAAAGCAAAAGAGAATGACGAACACCAGTGGAGACAGAAGGGGCAGGGTTCTAAGGTCAGCCCTGAAGCATCTTCAGATGTTGAAGGAAGGAGGGGGAGATGGGCTGAGGTACCAAAAGGTTCGGTTGGGAGAGTGGATAAGCCTCTATTTCCTTCCAGAAGGAAGAGCACGCAAGGGTCAGGTGCCCTGGTTTAAGCCAGCCAGGCCTGAACAGGACTAGGAAGCCCCCTGAGCAGATGGACTTGAGGAACTTAACAGCCTGACTTCTAAGCCTGGCACAGTGGCACACGCTGGTCATTGTAGCTAACCTGGAGGCAGAGACAGGAAGACTTCAAGTTTGAGGTTAACTGGGGCAACTTAAGAAGGCACTGCCTCAAAATAAAAAATAAAAGTGGTAAACAGTCTCCTGGGTTCAATCCCCAGTACTGGGGAAAGGGGAGAATCTGATTTCTAAAACAGATCACTGGATTATACACTTTAAAATGATTAATTAGTAGCTGGGTTTGCTGGTGTACGCCTGTAATCCTAACAATTCTGGAGGCTGAGGCAGGAAGATCACAAGTCTGAGGCCAGCCTGGGCAACTTAGGAGACCCTGTCCAAAATGTTTAAAAGGGCTGGGGATGTAGCTCAGTGGTAAAGTGCCCCTGGTTTCTATCCCCAAATAGAGTGAGTTAAATTCATATCAATCTCCCACCCCACGTACACATAAAATGAGTATCAACAGTTAAAAAAAAAAGACAAAGAAACAGACTGGGATTAGAAGGCATTAGCCACATATTTTTCCTAACAGGAGGAGAAATGAGCTGAGAGAGAAGTGGGTGGAGGGTGGTGGGGCAACCATGGCCCCAGAAAGCAAAGGCATTCCAGTTGGATGCCATTAATGGGGGAGAGGAGTGCGCTGCATCTCTGAGGCTGTGTTTGTGCACAGATGAGTGTGCATGTGTGTGAAACATCAAACCTCTCCAGGGAAGGGATGATCATTTTAAAAATAAATGTTTGTTGAGCACTAACTATATGGGCAGTGTCTCCTAGATGGAGCCAGAAGCTGCCCATTATAAATTCAAAATGTATTTGAAATCTTATGCACAAACTTAAAAAAATCATTCATTTTTCATTTGACCCTCTAACACATTCTGTGATTCAGTACACAAGAGTGTCATTGCCCTCCTGGGAGGCCCGCTAGAAGTAAGCTATGCTGGGTGTTGTGGCCACTCTCCTAGGGGCACAGCTCCCTGGGTCCAGGCTGGCTTGGTCAGCCACCAAGTTTCACAAAACATAATAATGCTTAGAAAGATGAGCTATGACAAAAAGTTCGTAGGGCTGGGGCTATGGGTCAGCTGTAACTTGTCATACACAAGGAATGGGAGCCAATGGGTGTTTTGGTTTTAGAAACTCCCATCATTTTTGAGAGATGTTTAAAGTGGTTGGACATATTCTGTGGCTTACAAAAGATAACTGGAAAGAGTGGAGTAGGATATTTTCTCAAAGTGGAGTAGGACTTTCTCCAAGACCCAGAGAGCTGAAGCATTACTGCTTTTAGAGCATGGGCACATGCACACGAATGTGGGGAGGGGTTCCTGGTTGGCTGGTAACTGAACATCATGCTGCCCTGTGACAGGTGACTTGGTTATTTCTCTGCCACTGGATCATGCATGCCTCACCTCATTGTGTCGTTGAGTCCCTTCTGCACGGAGAAGATCTGCTGCTTACTGATGGCTTGAGAGGCCTGGAACAGCTGGCTGACGATCTCACTACAGGTTTTAGCTTCTAGTCCAAGTTGGCTTCCATTGGCACAGGCTTTGGCTAACGCTAGCTGAGGACCAGAAGACAAGTCCAACGTGAGCAGGAGGTGCTCCACACCCAGGCTCACGCCTTTCTGGTAGAAAACACATGTGTGAGTGCTGCCTACTTAAGACTGCTCACCTTGGGACAGTATGATAAGATCTTTAGTGTCGCTCTTTTTGGGACAGGTGATACAGCACATGATAAGAACTTTAAGTGGAAGAGAGGATGGACGTGTGAGTCGCCTTCCCTCTCCAGGGCAGGGCCTCACCAGCTAGTCTCCTGCCTACATTCTTTGTGAGAAGCTTCTGTTCACAGGTATGAAAATCAGCATACCAGGGGAGGCTGTACTGCAAGATGACAAGACCCAACTGGGGTCTCAAAAAATCTGGCTCTATAACCTGGGTCTGTGTGTGACCTTAGGTAAACTGGGAGACCCCCTGCACCTTGGTTTCTTCTTTCATGAAATGGTACATTAACAGTCTGGGTCAGCACCCAGCATGTAACCACCCAACACCCACGAAGACCTCAGATAGACACCATCAACTATTTTTATACATTTCCTTCTAGATTTTTCTAGACATTTTTAACAGTATATAAGTGCATTTGTGACCAGGGCACACGTACACACATTTTATTTTTTCTTGGCCCACTAATAATGACATGCTTCCTTGTGTTATTCAACTCCAGACATATCCACTTCTTCTTTCATTTAGAGTATTTTAACATATTTCTTTGAGGAACTCGTGGTTCCTCACTGGTGAATCCACAGGAGCAGCTGTAACCTTTTGCTCCACCTGTTCTCTGATGAAAGGCCTGTACTGATTTCATACCACTCATAGGAGCACTTACTTTATCTCACCTTCATGAAAAGTGATATTGCTACAAGTATCTATTTCCGGGAGTTACTAGCTAGTCACTCAAAAACACACAGAAAAATAAATACAATTTGCTAATACAATCAGCACAAGTTCTTTCATTTAAAGATGCACTCATTTGACTAGCAGCAAGTTTAATAGTTGTTCCACTTTTTATCTGGTTGTGTTTATCTCCTCTCAAAAATCCACTGAGCCCTCAGAATATCCACAAGGGTCTTACTACTCTTATTGATTATTCTGAGCTTCTGTAGAATTACATTTCTTATAAATCTTTTGACTACCTTTTTAGACATGAACACTGCAACATTCTATGATACATCAGCCTGGGCCATCTATGGATTTGTGACTTCTTTCCCGGGTTTGAATGTAGATGACAGTATCATCCAGCTGATGGAGTGATAAGAAAAGCTTCTACCTGCTTGGCAAGGGGGGACTTTCTTCAGTTTGTCCTAAAATGACTTCTTTATAGCTGCAACGGGAGAGTCTGGGGAATACCAACTACAAACCCTTGACTTCCTAGCTGAATAACTTGAGCCGGGCTAGGTGCTCAAAAGATCGGGAAAGAACTCTACACACCCTCTGCTCTCAGGTGGCCTCAGCCTTCATTGTCAAGGTTAAGTATTATCTATGGGATGACCTCCACGAAGGAGTGGTATGAATTTTCATAGGTGTAGTCCACCAACATTTAAAATTAAGAGGCTAGCAAGCATGTGGCAACTGTAATCACAACAACCCAGGAGGCTGAGGCAAGAGGATAGCATGTTTGAGACTACCCTAGGCAAGACTTTGCCTCAAAAAAAAAAAAAAAAATATATATATATATATATATTTTTAGTTGTTAATGGACCTTTATTCTATTTTACTTTTTAAATTTATTTGAGAATCGAACCCAGTGCATCATGCATGCTAGGCAAGCGCGCTACCACTGAGCCACAGCTCCAGCCCCATATATATATATATATATTTTGTACCAGGGATTAAACACTGAGCCCCATCCCTGGCCCTTTGTATTTTGAGACAGGATCTCACTTAGTTGCTTAAGGCCACACTAAGTTGCTGAAGCTGATCTTCCTGCCTCAGTCTCCCAAATCATAGGGATTACAGGGTGTGCCACCATGTCCGGTTTTAAAATAAAATTTTTTTTAGAAGGTGGGAGGGGGGCTGGGGATGTGGCTCAAGCGGTAGCGCGCTCGCCTGGCATGCGTGCGACCCGGGTTCGATCCTCAGCACCACATACAAACAAAGATGTTGTGTACGCCAAAAAGTGAAAAATAAATATTGAAACTCTCTCTCTCTCTCTCTCCCTCCCTCTAAAAAATAAAAATAAAAAAACAATTAAAAAAAAAAAAGAAGGTGGGAGGGTAGTTCAGTGATAGAGTGCTTAGCCTGAGAGGCAGGGGTGGAGATGAATGAAGCGTTTCTGAGCTCTCTCCCTGTGTGCCCAAGAGCTAACCTCCTGAAACACTAGGCTTCAGGACCAATCTTACTGTATCCCTCAGTCTCCATGTAAAGCCCAGGCAGTCCTGCCCCAAACACATAAAGGGAAAGGCCAGCACTCCATGTCACCTGCGCTTCCCAGCAGCCTTTGGCAGCATAGTCTCTGAGTTTCCGGAAGCTGTGGAGGCATCGTCCAGGATCTGACATCTGTCACAGGAGAAAGTTGCCTTTATACAGTTGTGTCTTGGGAGCTGACCCATGGGTTCTTAGATGTCTCCTCCCTCACCCCTGGTCCCCACTGTGCTGGCTTCCCAGCCTTTTATCCCCAAATGAAGGTGGTTGTCTTTGGGGGGTGCTAAGAGCAGACTGCTACTTAGCAGCTCCTGGTGGCCAAGAGGCCAGAAGCTGTTAAAGCAACTTCTTTTGTCCATTAGAACCTAGTCCAAGGGCCAGTTTGGGGAATGCCTCTGGCCAACAGGACTCCTCCTTTTCCCAGAAGTGGGTCCACTCACATCCATCTTTCTGTCACTCTCCCAGAGGAGGTATGAGCTGGCCAAACACCCCTGATGAGCAGACTCTTCAAACAGGTGACGGGCCTGCTTCTTTTTCTCTTCATCCTGGAGTAAGCCAAGCACAACTGGTTCTTTTCTCATCAATCTACCAGCCACCTTCTTCCCCTCCATGCACCTAAGCTATCACACTCTGAGATAACTCAAGGGTTGACTAAATCAGGGTAGAAATGATTCTCTGAAGATATACCACTTGACAACCAAGAAGTACAGACTTGGAGCTCTGGCCTTGCTTTTCCTGGAGGAGGTTTCTGTGTGGGTTTGGCCTGCAGGCTCCTTGACTCAGCTCTGGGACACCCAAGGCCTGCCTTTCACACTGTTGCCAAAGAAAATGTTCTGTACTGCCTGGATAGTAGTGTTGGTGGCTCCTCACTTACCCTCAGCATCCCTCCCAGATGCTTTACGAGAAGCATCACCTTCTCTAAATCTGATGCAAAGGGGGCTAATGAGCACAAAGCCTGTTAAACTTTAAGAGTACAGAGGTCTGGGTGAGCACTGAGGCTCACCAGTGGAAGAACTCCACCTGCTCAAGTCCTGCCTATGTCTGCTCACCTGTGCCACTTACCCACCATAGGCATTTGATTCTCACAGCCCCCCAGGAGCCCGATCACACAACAGGATCCACTGCCCAGCCCCATGTAGCCTTTCAGGGCCAGGCTTGGCTTTTGCAGTGACCTTGGATGCCCCCTTCTGCTACTTTTCATGTACTTCCTGGATCCTGGACAGGGATTTGACAAACAAAGCAAAGTCCAAGGGCAGCAAACAACTGGACTAACCTCGAAAAGATTTAGCACTCTTCCCAAGCAATGCAGTATGGACGCTCTGTGAGTCTTGAAAGTAAAAAAAGAAGGAGGAGAAAGAAGTATAATTCCTCACAAAGAGAACTGCCAGGGGGCTATCCTTCCCAGCCCTGCCACAGCCCCCTCTTCACACAGAGGACCACGCCCCAGTTCTAATCTTTAGCTCTGGCTGCTTCAGGCAGTCTTGATCCTGTGTTTCCAGCTGCCAACACTTCCACCAAGACAGACTCTGCTGTCCACCCCTGCCCTTCACACCTCCTCTCCCATGGTCAGTTCAAGTCACAGCCCCCATACCTGCACTGAATTTTCTATACTTCTACTTCCTTTAGGTCCCGACTTTACATGGCCTACAGTATCTACCTCTGGGTTTTCCTGTGTCCTGGGACCCTGCAGGTGGAGCCCCTTGCCAGAACTTACTCTCTGCAGCTGGCACTCTGCCCTAAGACTCTCATGGACCACAGCCTTGCAGCAGCTTCCAGACACTGACCATGGCGGGCGGATGAAGAGCCAGATGAAGGGCATAGCACTCACGTTCAGTCGCTCTGCCAGGCTGAAGAAGCGAGAGGCCTTCAGGCCATTCACTTCTGCACGGGCCTCATCAGACACAGACACTGTCAAACAGAGAAGAGCCCATGCTGTCACTGAGGGGAATGGAATAAGGAAAGTTCTCCAGTCCTTCTGGAAAGTCTAAAAGCTCAAGCCCATTGCAGTGCAAAGTAGCTGGTGTTTTAGAAGAGATGAGGCCTCTAGGAAGGGGGCTCCATCCTCTTTTTCCCCTGCTTTGTTCAGTTCTAGGATGGGTCAGATGGTCTTGGTGATCTCAGGACCTTGCTGGAATCCTTCCGGAAGCCTGGACTCTAATGACGAGGGAAGGTGTGCCCCAGAGGTTTCAGCCCCATGCTCCCTCCCTAACCTCTTGCTTATGGGTTGTGGGGATGGGTTCTTTTCAGGGTGAAAATATTCTAACATTACAGTAGCAATGTTTGCACAACTCTGTGAATATACTTAAAAAAAAAAAACCCAAAACACTGAATTATATACTGTAGGTGCACAATTCTGGGAACTGCTCTATGACAGGAAGGTGGGGGCAGGACTTTGCCTCTCCTAGCCTGGAGGAGGGCAATACTTTTGGGCTCCATCAGTCACCACAGTCCTGTCAGCTGGCCAAGGACAGGGATTATCTTCGCAAAACACCATGTCTTTTAGAAGCAGGAGAATGTTGGGCTATGTCTCAATCATGTCTTTTGGAAGCTGGGATAGCCGACTGGGATTCCTCCTTGGGGCATATGAGTTCCAGTAGATTAGCAAGAAGTGGTATAAGAGAAGCCTCACCAAGGCCTTTTTTTTTTTAAAAAAAAGCCAAGGTCTTTTAAGAAGCACCGGGCCTTCAGAGGCAAAGGAATCCTAGCACAAGGCTAGGCAGGTCTGAGCTGCCTCCAGCATGGAACCATGGCTGCCCATGTTACTGAGACCCTGGGGAAGCAGGCACACTGATCTCTCCCTGACGTTTTGCAAAGGATGGCCAAGGAGAGAAACTATATCCACTCATGGACTGGTGGGGTGGAGGAAGCCCAGGAAAGGCTAATTTCTCCAAGCAGCTTCCATCCTAAAGTTCTATTCAAAATCATTCTTGATTGAACTCAAGGACACTTGACCCTGGGCCACATTTCCAGACCTTTTTCACATTTTATTTAGAGTCAGGGTCTCACTGAGTTGCTTAGGGCCTCGCTAAGTTGCTGAGACTGGCTTTGAACTAGTAATCCTCTTGCCACCTGAGCCACTGGGATTACAGGCGTGTGTGGTATGTGGTTCAAAGTCATTTTTTAAAAATATTTACTTTTTAGTTGTAGTTGGACAATACCTTTATTTTATTTATTTTTATGTGGTGCTGAGGATTAAACCCAGGGCCTCGCATATGCTAGGCGAGCACTCTACTGCTAAGCTATACCCCCAGCCCTCAAAGTCATTTTTTAAAAAATTTTTCTTAGTTGTAGATGAACACAATGACTTTATTTTTATTTGTTTATTTTTATGTAGTGCTGAGGATCGAACCTGGTGCCTCATACATGCTAGGCAAGCGCTCTACCACTGAGCGACAACCCCAGCCCTCAAAGTCATTCTTTGCTGACAAAAATTCAAGAATTTTTGGGCTGGGGTTGTGGCTCAGTGGCAGAGCACTTGCCTTGCACATATGAGGCACTGAGTTCAATCCTCAGCACCACATAAAAATGAATAAACAAAATAAAGATATTAAAAAAAAATTCAAGGGGTTTGCTAAAACAAGATTCTTGGGGCTGGGGTTGTGATTCAGTGGTAGAGCATGTGTGAGGCACTGGGTTTGATTCTCAGCACTGCATATAAAATAAAATAAATAAAATAAAGGTCCATCAACACTAAAAAAAAATCAATAAATAAATTTCAAAAAAAAAAGAGAAGAAATTCTTAGAACCTAAGTTAAAGTATCAATGGTTCCTCACAGGGCAGCTCTGGGCACAAGCTATTAAGAAGAGATAGTAAGGCAGACCATCAGATACAGCAAGAAGAGCGACTAAATAACTTCACTAAGAATGTCTCTTGACCGAAGGCTCGTGTTTATCTAAGTGCCAACACTGGGTGGGGGCAGGACTTACAGCCTTCATTGTAGAGGTAAGCTATGCCCAACTTCGCAGCAGCTTCAAAGTTTCCCTTTTCAGCAGCCCTAGAACATTAAGAACAAAGAACACAAGACTTTAAAGCCACAAAGGTGATATACTATCACAGCATTTGAAGCTGGATACTTGCTTTCCAAATTGAATTTTTAATGTAATATAGTCAAATAGCAATTACCAATACATGTTATAATGTGGATAAATGTTAAACATCGTGCTCAGTGAAGTTAGTCACAAAAGACCACATATTTTATGGTTCCATTTGTATGAAATGTCCTGAATAGGCAAATCCATAGATGGAAAATAGATTAGGGGTTGTCTAGGATTTGAGGGGTTGTCAGAAAAAGGGGGAATGACTGCTAATGAGTATGATTGGGGAGGTACTGGGTGCTTAAATCACTGAGCTACATCCTCAGCCCCTTTGTATTTTGAGACAGGGTCTTGCTAAGTTGCTTAGAACCTAACTAAATTGCTGAGGCTGGCCTTGGACTCTCCTGCCTAAGCCTCCTAAGTGCTTGAGATTAAAGGTGTGTACCACTGCACCTGGCTTCTGGGTTTGTTCTTTTTCTGCAGTATAGGGAATCACACACACTAGGCAAGTGCTCCACACCACCAACCCTTTTTAAGTTTTGAGGCAGACTCTCACTAAATTATCCAGGCTGTCCTTGAATTTGTCATCCTCTTGCCTCAGACCCCTGGGGTTGCTAGGATTATAGATATGCACCATTATGCCTAGCTTTCAGTTTATTAATTGAGGAGGATCAACCTGAGCCACCTGGTTCCAAGGGCAACCTCTGACACCATTATAGTGTTCTTGGATGGTGGGCCTGGTTGCTAGTTCCTGGGCTCACAACTCTAGCAGATGGGATGGATCAACCAGTGAGTGAAATTCAATAGGACTGAAATCACATGGTTCTGAACAAAGGAAAAGGCTGAGTATTACTTCCATAGACAGGTGATTCATGTCTGAGTAACATGGGAAGTGGTCCCTGCCCCAGGGGGACCCTCTGGAAGCACAGCAGACATGAAGGATGAGCAATGAAGTGGACTGCTGGAAGTGGTGTGGCTCAATGGGTGAGATCAGCAGCTCTGTGTCATTCCTCGGGACATGAGGCAATAGTCAGGGGAAGACAGCAACAGGAAAATAGTTTCTGAATCAGATCTTGGGACACAGGCAGCAAATCAAGAGGAGAAAAGGCAGGAGGAGATTAAGCAATCCATTTTCAGGGTGCAGAGATACCTTTCAAAGAGCTTCAGGTTCTTTGGAGAAGGCCATAGCTCCTGGAAGCTGGCACATGCCCATACGCTGGCGTGGTTGTCCACCAAGTACTTGAGGTGGGAGTGTACCTGCAGAGCAACAGAAGCAGGGGGAATTACCGAGTGGCTCCCCAACAGCTCTGCTCCTGAAGACTCTTGAAGACAGGACACAGACATAAGGTGTCCTGTCTCCTTCCTGTCCCAAGCAGTAAGGGATCCAGTCTCTGTGTAAAAATTATGTTGCTTTGCATGGAAAATAAAGCCCTAAGTGAGTTTCTTTGAAGTTCTAAGGGAGAAGTACAATGGCCCAGGAAGGGAAGACCAAACACCTAGATTAAGAAAGAAGGAATGACACTTCTGCAAGGGTCTATACCTGAAAGTGATTAAAGGGCTGCAAGCAAGACAAAAAAAAAAAAAAAAAAAATCTGTTTTACATGGCTTAAAGATTGGTCACAGAGTCTCAAGGAAAAGACTGATAACCTCAGGTAGAACCCAGAGCTTTCAGGCAGGAAATACCAAGGCCAAGCACCTGAGCACAGGTGAGCAAATTAAATGCTAAAGTCTCCACTACTGTTGAGAATACAGTACACCATGGGTTCCCCAGGTATATTATAACCACAGTAGAGATGGTTTTGGGAATCAGAAAATGGGTTATTGGCGTTTTCCTGCCAATTTGTTGTATACTCTAGGACAAGTCATGCAAAGTGAGATTGCAGTTCAAAAATAACTTCTAGAGTTTACTTCAGCATTATATGTTAGGATTTATCTTCAAGAACATATTTTTATCCTTATTTTTGGGGGAGTGGGGATACCAGGGATTTAATCCAGGGGTGCTTTACCACTTAGCTACATATGTAGCCCTTTTTATTTTTTATTTTGAGACAGGATCTTGCAAAGTTGCTTAGAGCCTCACTAAGCTGCTGAGAGACTGGCCTTGAACTTGCAATCCTCCTGTCTCAGCCTTCCAAGTCATTGTGATTATAGGCATTGCCATAATACTCAGTTTATTTTTATCCTTTTTAATACAATCTTATTTCTTAAGAGACCTAAATTTTACTGCCAAAGAGCGGTACTTTCTCAGTTGAAATATACATTGCAATAAATGGAGTCAAACCTTAGTGTACTATTTCTCCAAATGGAATGTCCTCAAACATCTATTAGTGCTATCACTCTTGTTTCCTTTGCTCCCTTTTGTAGCCAGAGTTTTATTCTGACATTTAAGAACATGAGGCATTGATGTTGTAATCAGATGTGGTATGATTGGTATTGCTTTAATTTGGTGACTTACAGCTCGGACTGCAAGGATGTCCCCAACAGAAAGCCATTTCAGGATGTGAAAGAGCACATCTTCCGGGAGATTCAAGATGGTTAGATTTTGGGGTCGCCTTCTTATTCTTCTTTTGGTAGGATAACAAAAACACTTTGCACACCTACAGTGGATCACTTAAGGAAAAAATATATATATATATAAGTCTTGATAAGTGAAAAGCTATATCTGAAGATGATTTAATAGTTTTTGTTTCTGTACCACAAAATAAGGGACTAGTCCTAAACTTAGATTAAATAGTTGGATATCTTTGCTTTTATTAGTTCATGTGATTAAAAAATATAACATTCAATAAGGATTTGTGGGTTTGGGCACTCTGGTTTTGGACCCTAAATTAGGAGGGTCAGCCCTGCAAGGAAGCAAAGGACTTGTAAACCAGGCAGGTCCCTGTCCAAGCCTCAGTTTTGCAGATGTCAGAGCTGCCCTGTCAAAGCCCTAGTGTCCACCTCTGGGAAATGGGGAGTTGACAGCTATTCAACAAGGTTGTGCAAATCCAACACAAGACCTTGATTGGCACATATGCAAACATTAAAGATGAGATATGCAGTCTGCCGGATCAGTTCTTTTCTCCCTCTTCCTACAGTGGGTCATTCCAACTCCTACTCCAGCAACCCCTTCCTCATTCTAGGCAGATGGCTTTACTCCTTCTTTTGGAGAAAAATGTAAGCCCTTAGGAACCTCAACATCCTACTTCGCCATGTACAGATTTACCTGTCTTTCCACCCATCCCTCCTCCATCCCCCAAGGAAAGTAACTGCTCCTGCCTCCGTGAATCAGAACTTTTCTTACGAATGCCCACTCCATCTTTTGACCTGGATTTTCCAGTAAGCAACTAAACGGTACTGCAAAAGCCAAATGTACACCCAAGGAGACTAGTTCCCAAAGATTACTCCGATTACCATTAAAGTCTCCTCATTCATTTGTTCTAGAACACACACTTATTAGAAATGTTTAATCACCACTATAAAAACAACTGAGACCGCGGCTCGGCTTGACCGAGCTCAAAGGAGCCGTGGCGCCGGGGCCCAGAAGAGCGGTCCGCAGGTGCGCGGACAGAGCCTTAGGCGGGCGTGGGTTGCGGGGATCACAGTGTCCCCGTTACTCCCTCCACAGGTTTGGGACTCTACAGAGATGCAATCGCAGTTTACTCTGCGGAAAACCCAAATAGTCGCCCAGGAGGAACAGAGCCGGGAAACGCCGCCGCGAGAAGCGCGGGCGCCGAGTGGGTATTTAAACCGCGCGTCCAAGTACGCGGTCGGGCTCAGGCTGGGGGCTCCCGCCGGCCTTGCTGCGGTGGATCAAGCGCCCGCCTCCGGTGACAGGCGCCCGAGCTCCCAGCCGCCTGCCCAGCGCCAGCCAGCCGCCCGCACTTACCACCGCCGCTCCCCATCGCCGAGCTCGAGCCGATACCACCCGAGCCCGCCCGCGAGCGCGCCAGCGCCGGGCTAGCGCCCTGCCGCCGCGCGCAAGCGCAGGCCCCGCCCTTCGCTTGCCCCCGCCCCGTTTTCAAATGCACCCGGAGCTCCCATTGGTCACGCCAGGAACCACGCCCTCTATCCCGCCCGCCCTGTCGGCTCGTACAGCCAGCTATAGGCCCCGCCAGGACGCGAATTCGAACGCTGGCCGCCTATTGGCTGAGCTGGTGAGGACGCCCCGCCTTCCCAACCTGGCGGGGCTCCAGGAGGAGCGCGGCTGGGGTCCGCGGGCGGGGTAGCCTAGCTGCTTGCTGGGGGCTGTCCCTGGAGTAGGGGGTGCTGCCAAGCGCCCTCCTGTGCGTCCTCGTGTACGCTGCTGAACCCCATCCTGGCTCCTCCGGCCCAGTGCTGACTGGAGCAGGACTCGACCCTGACCCCGCCCTCACCGTCTGTCCCTCCCAACCTGGGTATCGAAGGTCTAGAGATGCGCGAGCGGAGGGTGATACCGAGGAGTTGGGAAGCCGAGGCTCCAGTCTTGGTGGGCTTACCTAGTGTTACTGGCAGCCTAGCCCAGGGACCCTGCCTGGATCTAGGTTCGCCAAATGTACACCCAAGGAGACTAGTTCCCAAAGTTCCCCGCCTGCATAAGAAATAGGCAGATGATGGGAAAATATATTTTATGCAGGGGTCTGGGCTAGGCTGCCCACTAACACTAGCACGCTGGATTTCCGCAGGCAAGCCCTTATTCTCGCCTTGACCACCGGTTGTCCCCCCCCCCCTTTTTATTTTAAAGAGAGAGAGGAAGAAAGAGAGGGGGAGAGAGAGAGAATTTTTAATATTTATTTTTTAGTTTTCCGCGGACACAACATCTTTGTTTGTATGTGGTGCTGAGGATCGAACCCGGGGGCCGCACGCATGCCAGGCGAGCGCGCCACCGCTTGAGCCACATGCCCAGCCCCACAGGTTGTCCCTTTTGTTTCCAATCTCCCATCTTTACCGCTTGCACTTTCGGGTTTTATTGGCTGCCGCCTGCCACCTGGAATACCTGTTTCCGCATATATGCGGCATTGTGTATCATGTCTCAGCTCTTTATGGGATATGCTGTGGAGGAAAGACATTCTCCTGGGGAAGTCAGAAAATCTAGGCCTGGCTCTCCTCCTTCTCCCATGGCTTGGATCAGCCTTCATCCTCCCACTGTTCCCAGCTCACAGCTCACTAAACACTTGGGGTATCTGGCCTGAGCTGGACACATAGAAGCCAGTGTCAAAACCCTTTGTCAGACTGGGGCAGAAGACAGGGAGATAAGCAGGTGATCACAACAGGAACATAGGAGAGCCCTAGGGTTCCTAAAGAAATGAGTTAACTCAAGTGGGGCACAGTGGTGCACTCCTGTGATCCCAGGGGCTCTGGAAGCCAAGACAGGAGGATCATGAGTTCAAAGCCAGCCGCAGCAGTTTAGCAAGGCCCTAAGCAACTCATTGAGACCCTGTCTCTAAATAAAATATTAAAAGGGCTGGGGATGTGGCTCAGTGGTTAAGTGCCCCTGGAGTTCAATCCCTAGTACCAAAAAAAAGGGGGGGAAAAGTGATGAGAGATGGGACTATTTCCTGCCCCAGACTGAGGAAGAGTAGATAAGAGCCGAGCAAGCTTGGGACCTGCTCTCCCATTCTCCTCTTCCCACACAGAAGGAAGAGGAGGATCCACTGGGAACCTCAGATTTCTCATTTCTTTGTCACTCCTTTGTTTTGTGGGTTACTGTTTCCCAATTTGTTACTTTGTCCTCCTCACTGCTGTTACTTTGTTACCTGGTCCCTGAAGGCAAAGGTTCACTTTCAGTGTTTGTTTTTGGTAGTACTTGAAGAGATTAATAAGCTATATCTAGTAATGAGCAAGTCAGTTGCTACTGGTGTCCCAGAATCTATAACAGCATCATTGGTTACTCAAGGCCCCAGTGTCCTAATCACTCTTAGAAGAAAAGTGTTCTTTTTAAGGATCAGAAGTTCTTTTGGCTGCAGCTACAGTCATGCTGCAGAAATCACTCCCTGACACATGCTCTGCACTGCCTTGGGCACCTAGGAATGAACTAAGATAATGGGTCACTCCTAAGCCATATGAGGTGCCACATTTCCCGTTGGGCTTCTAGAAAGTGAGAGAACTCCAGAAAGTCTCAATTCTTGGGAGCACAGGGAAATTCCTAGCAGAATAAGGTGGCAATTGAAGACCTGAGGGTCAATGTAAGGGGGGATTCATGGGTAAGGGTACAAAGTTGAGAGTAAGGAATAGTGAAGTAGGTTGGGAGGTCAAAAGATCCCACATTCAGAGAGAGGAAGAGGACCTTCAGAGAAGGCTGAAAGGAAACCAGAGGCAGTGAGCAAGGCCCAGGGATACTTCTATGACAAAGAAGTAGGGGATACTTAAATGCCTTAAAGCAGCCACACAAGGACAAAGAAGCTGGATATGGTGGCACACACCTGTAATCTAAGCTGCTCTGCAGACTGAGGTAGGAGGACTGCAAGTTCAAAGCCAGTCTTAGCAACTTAGACCCTTTCTTGAAATAAAAAATAAAAAGGGTTGGGGATGTGACTCAGTGTTTAAGTGCTCCTGTGTGGGTAGCCACTCTAAATGTACACACTTTTAAGTCCTGATGCACCATAAGGATCCTGAAAGATCACTGTAGTCTGGCGTGCAGTAGTGTCATGATTTGTGACTTGGGCTTTTTTTTTACCCTCACTCTGATAATAAGGTGTGGCCCTGGGAGTGGCCCTAGGAGTAGGGCACCCAGAGGGGTTGAGTTACACTCACCTGTTCCCTTGTAATCTTACCCCTTTGCCCAGTTTGGGGATAGAATGTTCCATGGAAACTCCGTGTGTGTCCCCTTCTCTGGCTCTGCCTTTGGGTGTGGACTTCCTAGATGTCAGTCAACCTGCTGACAGCAGACATCATGAAGCTAGACTCAACCTCCTGAAACCTGACCCCCTGCCTCGTTTGAATGGCTTCTCCTCAATAAAAGGGTTCAGCCCATGCTTGAGAAGGGACAGAGAACACACCTCTCTTTCCATGGACCCCTAAGGTCAGAGGAGCCATCACAGGATCCAAAGAAAAAGGTATTTCTCTGTGTGATTATTTCGAGCAGCCCAGTAGCCCAGTTCACCTGGAGTCACCCTGAGTGTTTTAGTCATGAGACGTGACAATTGGTGGCAGCTGAACTAAGATTGCTTGTGTGAATTTGCAGGGACACAAAATAAAACACAGACACAATTTACCTTTACATAAGCCTCCGGCTCTGTACCCCAGACTCCCCAAAAGGGAGAGTAAGAGAGGCTGAAAAGAGGTCGGGGAGAAAGAGAGAGAGAGAAGCGGGGGAGGGGGGAACACATTGGGAAGTCAACTTTTATTGGGTGGACTCTTGTTCTTAGAAAGTTCTATCCATAAAAGGGTGGTAGGGGCAGGACAACAAGGGAACAGGTGAGTGTAAATCAACCCTAGGGGCACGGCCCACAAAGAAGACCTCCTTGCTACCCCACAAAGAAGACCTCCTTGCTACCCGAACAAGTCTCAGACCTGGCCACAACAAATGCAGTGGTTGGCCAGAGCCTGAGGCATCAGGACTGGAAGGCGTGGTCATTTAATGTGGGTCCCCACACTCCTGGGTTTAATCCCCTGGTAGCAAAAAATAAAGAAAAAAAAAGGACAAAGAAACCAATGGATGTGGTGACCAGGGGTTTGTTGATGCTGGGTTTTTGTTTGTTTGTTTGTTTGTTTGTTTTTTAGTTGTACATGACACAGTACATTTAATTAATTAATTAATTAATTAATGTGGTGCTGAGGATCAAACCCAGTGTCTCACGCATGCAAGGCAAGCACTGTACCACTGAGCTCAGCCAGATACTGCTGTTATGAGTGAGGGGGTGCAGGGAATGTGGGCAAGACTTGTAGACAATACTTTCATGAAGTTTGATTAGAAGGGACAGAGAACACATCTGTATTAGGGGACATCTGGTTGACCGAAAAAATGAGGCAGCAAGAGGGGCAGGGTGACCTCAATAGAGAGGCAGGCTATTTGATGGAGTACTTCTCAGAGAAGACAACAGTCTCCATGTGACAAGGACACACACCACATCTGTCCACATGCAAAGCTGGAGCAAAGGCCTTAGCATCTGTTACAGGGCTAGAGACAACAAAACCTGCTGAGCCCTGACCCACCAATTTATAATTCAGTGGGTCGGGGTGGGGCCCAATACCATTGAACTACTTCCCCATCCCCAAGAATCTACATTTCAAGTAAGCTTTCAGATGCTACTATGTTGCTAGTTGGGAATCCCACATGGAAAATTCTGCTGGAGTTGAATCTTGGCATGAGGTGCTGGAAAGTTATTGAAAATCTTTTTTTTAAAAAACATTTATTTATTTATTTATTTTAGGGGTAGATGGACACAACACAATGCCTTTATTTTTATGTGGTGCTGAGGATCCAACCTGGGTCCCGCCCGTGCTAGGCGAGCGCTCTATCGCTGAGGCACAATCCCAGCCCCAATTGAAAATCTTTAGGTCTGTTTCACATTTGAGAAAGGGGGCAATAAGCACATGCACTTCACAGGTTGATATAGGGTCACATGCAAACTCACTGCAAACATTTGCAGAAGCAGGGAAGAGAATAAATGCCCACACATTCAAATATTTATTGAAAAATTGTGACTTAGACTAGGCAAAGGTGTTGCCTCCTATCTTAAGAAAAATAGCATCATCAAAACCTGGAAGGGTAGTTTTAAATTTAGAATACATGGACTCCACCATGCGGCCTGCGCATTGGTTTCATTAATGAGGTTCTTGGCATAAAAGTTAGCTAGCAGAGATCGAAATAAAACATACAGACTCAAGTTACCTTTTTCTATGACCAGGTCCGAGACAGCTCCCCTCTCTGGCTCCAACCTCGAACCACCCGTAGGGCAGCAAGGATTACTCAGGGCTAGCAGGAGAAAGAGAGAGAGAGAGCACGCCTTTTATTGGGGAACAAGAAATTCAGGGGAGAATTCCATCCAATGAAGGTTGAGGGGGGGGGCCGCACTCCAAGGTCAGGGTCAGTGATTGGGCCCCCGGGGTCAGTGGTCAGTCACATCCCCACACAGACGGGTTCTCTCATCAGGAGAGGGCTGGGAAAGTTCCGACACAGCCAGAAGCCTCAGACCCAAACCGGGAGTCGCCCAGTCACGCGTGAGAATGGCTCTCCACATGGACTCTCCAAGTTCTACCCTGGAGGTAGCATCATGCAGGAAGCCAGGCCCAGCAAGATCGATGTTCAACCCCTCTCTCCCTTTTCTGGCTCTATCCTGCTGGCCAAGTGGTCTGTGTACACCTGTGTGGACTATCCATGTATCCATTTAAACCTTGCCCATGATCCAGCACAGAGCAGCCATCCTAACTGCCCCTGAGGCCTTGGGATGTACGCAGGTGATATGGTATACCTGTGAAGAAGTGTGCTGCAGAGACCACCTATCTGGGAAGGGGATTCTGGAAAAGGGAGGGTGAAGACTTGGGTGAGCTGTTCCTTCAGTCCTGCAGACTTCTTACCCACGAGCAAGGACATTGTACCTGGGCCTACAGGGGACACAGTCAAATGACAGGGCACAGAAGACAGACCTGGTATCAAGCAGAGCCATGGTTGCTACTATGTAACTCCTGGGGCCACTGCCTTTTCCAAAGGATACACAAGGTGTTCCTCAGGGGCTGGGGACATAGCTCAGTGGTAGAATGCTTGCCTAGCATATGCAAGACTCTGGGTTTAATCCCCAGTACTACAGTAAATAAATAATAACAAAGTGTTCCTCTGAAGTTGCTTCCGTGGCTAGGTCCCTAGGAGACCACAGGTCACACACATGGGACTCAGGTAGTCCTTGCCACTGAGATGTTCCTGGGCTTTCCATCATGCCTCTGAAGCTATGGCCCCACTCTGCTCTATGTACCGCATTCTAGGGGAGGGCACTGCACCGAACTCACTGGGCAAGGCTGCCTTTGCAGCTCCTTGTGACCATGGCAGGCAATGTACACTCTGGCTAACCTGAACTAGGATCTTTATTACCATAGGACTGGTTCTGAGGAAGGCAGTGAGGGCGACTGAGAAAGAGATGAGGGAGATTGAAGGGGAGGCTGGGAAGGAGGTGATGAAGAAGGCAAGAGAGGCTGAGAGGGAGGTGAGCAAGGCTGAGGGCAAGGCAGTGAGGGTGATGAAGACCTGTCTGGCTCTGCTTGCTCTTGTTGGATTGTTCCTTGAGTAGGGGGCACAAGACTGGCGAAGTTCAGGAAGATGTCCTCCAAGGAGATCTGGTTGACCAAGTAGTCCTCCAACAGGTACTTCTTCTTGGCTTGCTCCAGAATGCCAAACACCTGTGGAAGGGGAAGGCAGCCGCTGTGGACAGGCTCACCCCTAGGTGGTGTGATGCACACAGTGGGGATGGGGTTAGGGAGAATGCAGAGAGAATGGAGAAAGCCTCTGGGCTTGCCATGCGGAGCAAATTTCTGCTCTAGGGTGTGCTCACCTTCCCCCAGCTGAGGTCATTGCCAGGCAGGTGGTAGTGGACCATGCCTTGGTGCTCCTCTTCTAGGACACTGCCTGCACAAAGGAGAGACTGTGTTCCTACCAAGGAAGACAGCCTAGGCACACAGGACTGTGGTCTTCATCCTCAGGGTCAGGGATGTGGGTTTGGCAGGGGTCAGGCACAGATACTGTGCATCAACTGACAAAGGTCCAGCAGGGGCCTGCCTCCCACCCCCAGTGGGGGCTGCTAGGGGCAGCACAAACCTGGAAAGGTCAGGTCTACAAATGCCTTGAACTCCTCCAGTGCTTCTTGCTGCCCTTCCCTTCGGACTTTGGCCCGCAGGGAGTAGCCGCTGCCAAACTTGCTCTTGAGGTGCTGTGGGCTTCCCAGGCACTTGAACTGACCCTGCATCATGATGGCCAGCCAGGTGCACAAAGCCTCACACTCCTCCATGCTGAGGACAGGGAGTAGAGGCCTTGAGACAGGGCTGGGGGGAAGCGGAAGCCCACCCTAGGTGTAAAAGCCTTGTGTATACAGAAGGTGTCAATTCCCAGATCAGGCTGTTCCTGATTCCCACGCTGAGTGTGACCACATGCAAAGCCTGGGGAAACTCTATGCCAGCTGCTCACAGGTGGTCTGCCCCCCTGGTCCCTCCCCAGCCACCAATTTCAGCTCCTCCATTGACCCACAGAGACCCAGGCTCTACCTGTGGGAGGTGATGACAATGGCCTTGCCAGACTCGCGGGCCTTTCCCACAGTGCCCCAGAGCAGGCGCCGGGCCATAGGGTCCATGCCAGTGGACGGCTCATCCAGGAAGATGACGGCAGGATCTCCAATGAGGGCAATAGCCGTGCTCAATTTGCGCTTGTTACCACCGCTGGGGGTGGAGGGGTGATGGTGGGCAGATGGAGAATGCTGCTGTTTCAACACCCACCCCTTTCTTCTCTGGGAGGGCTCTACATTCCAGGTGGGACTTTCAGAAAAACAGTCAAGCGGAGCTGTGGCTTGGGCTGTCCATGGAGGATCTAAACCATTCCCTGTACACAAGGATCAGTCCTGGGGGAGCACATGGTCAGTGAATCTTTAATGAACCCTATGGGTGTTAGGGGGCACCTTCTTCATCTGAGAGGAAGAATTTTATTTAACTCAAACCATTTACTATATGCAAGGCACCATTCTAAACTTTGCAAATTTAAATTAATTTGATTATCAAAAGATGCAAGAAAACATGAAAAGCTGCTTGAAACTCAAACCAACAGAGGGAAGAGCCAAGGATATCATCATCTGACCCCTGGGTCCATGTGACCAGAGGTAGTGTCTTCCTGGACTCATCCTGGACCGGATGTGCAGTACTGCTATGTGCCTTCAGGCGTGCTGAACACCATGAGATGGGAGTGGTGTTCTTGGCTTGGACAGTGAGTGTCTGGCTTTGTTTAAGCTACCTTGCTCCTCAGCAGAACCACACACACCAGAATGATGTAACTGTGCACTTAAAATGTCAATCTACCAAACACAGGAAGCCTATTATGAAGTGGAATGGAAGAAAGATCGGTTTACCCTTTTGGGACAACATATGTGGTGCCATCTGCCCTCAGCTACAGGAACTGCCTTTGGCCTGGGTTGGCCTTATAATTTCTGGAGCCCAGAACCAAAAGGGTGTGGTGCTTTTTTTCCTTTTATTTTTAATTTATTTTTGGTATGGAGGAGCACCCGGTGTGGTGCCTTGAGTAGCCCAGGACATTCACCCTTTCGTACAGGGGACAAAAGCTACCTCCAGCCACCCCCCCACAACATACCCACTATGGCATGGACTGTACAGCAACCCATGCCTGAGCTGATAGGCTTGGCCCTACATTCTAGTACTGAGAAGACCAGAGCTCAAATTGTAACTGGAGATGGAGAGGTGGAAGGAAGCTCCAGATCTCACCTGTGGGTCTTTACCAGCTTGTCTGCATACACGAACATGACTAAGTCCTCAAGAATCTGGTCCACACAGGAACTGATGTGGCGCTCCGGGATGCCCCGGATCCGGGCATACATGACCAGTGTCTCTCGGCCTGTCATGAAGCTCAGCAAGGCATCAAATTGAGGACAGTAACCAATCCACTGCCGGACCTGAGTTAGAACCACAGCCCCAAGAGGAAGGCATGTCAGAGCTACATGCCCAGTCTTTTTTACTTTGTTTAAAAAAAAAAAAAAAATATATATATATATATATATATATATATATATATATATATATATATATATATATATGTTTGTAGATGGATACAATGCCTTTATTTTGTTTATTTAATTTTTTATGGTGCTGGGGATCGAACCCAGGGCCTCGAACATGCTAGGCAAGTGCTCTACCACTGAGCTACAACCTCAGCCCCATTACTTTTTATTTTGAGACAGGGTCTGGCTAAGTTACTCAGGCTGGACTTGAATTTGTGCTCCTCCTACCTCAACCACCCCAGTAGCTGGGATTACAAGCATGCACACAATATGCTTTTCTAACTCAACATCATGTCTTAAGATTTTCCTAGATCATCACATACAGACCATTCCCACTCAGTTTAACTGCTACTTAGCGATTCAGGGAAGGTTTCTAAATTTTATTTAGCTGTTCAGAAAATTCAGGCACATGTATTTCTACCTTTCACCACTATAATAAACTTGTAGTTCACAATCCTGGTTTGTGCTCCCCTATGGTAGATTTTGGAGAGTGTGGGAAATAATTTTTGAAAATAGCCATGTTTTTTCCCTTCTCTTTCCTCCTTTCCATTCAAGCACTTGTGTGACCCTGGGCAGCCTGGACCTATTGATGGAGTGGCGAATTCAGGGTGTGAATAGGAAATCACATGGGGGGTCAGCTTAGGGAAGAGAGGGACAGGAGAAGGCTGTCATGGGGGAAGAATGTCTATAAGGATCTCACAACTAAGGGTCCGGTTTTGGTTCCCAGGGTGGGGCTTCCCCTAAGACAGATGTCCCCATGCCTGAGGTAACTGCTGAAAAGAAAGGCTCTAATGATTCTAATGAGGATGCTTCTGTAATTTCATGATTAAGTGTAAGGATTTATGGGAAACCACCTTTATCAAGTTATTTTAACTTAATGTTTCTTCTATTTTTCTAGTTAAGAATTTTTTGAGGGCTGGGGATGTGGCTCAAGCGGTAGCGCGCTTGCCTGGCATGTGTGTGGCCCGGGTTCGATCCTCAGCACCACATACAAACAAATGTTGTGTCCGCCAAAAAACCAAAAAATAAATATTAAAATTCCTTCTCTCTCTCTCTCTCTCTCTCTCTCTCTCTCTCTTAAAAAAAAAGAGAATTTTTTGAAATCATGAACAAGTATTGAGGGTTTTTTTGTTCAAATTCTCTTTTCATCATCAACTGAACTATTTTTCTCTTCTTAAGGCAATGATTTATGTTGGTGGATTTTGTACTATTAGACCTTAATTATATTTCTGGGATAAACCTAACTCAATCATCCTGCTGCATTTTCACTGTTAATATCTCAGGATTTTATGTTCCTAACAGAAACTGGCCTGGGGCTCATTCCAGCTGCTGTCACTGGTTGCTCTTCTTCGCTCCTAGCTGGGTGCATCCCACCTTCTTCCATGCTTTGGGATGGTTATACAAGAAGGAAATTATCTGTTCTGTGATAGTTAATTGGGCTTATTTATTGGTCCCCTTTATCCTAGGCCTTCATTTCAATTTTAATCTATATAAGTTTAAGTCTATATAAGTTTTCTTTTTCTCCTTCTCCTTCTTCTTCCTTTTATTTGTAGATAGACACAATACCTTTATTTATTTATTTATTTATTTTACATGGTGCTGAGGATCAAACCCAGGGCTTCACACATTCTAGGCAAGTGCTCTACCACTGAGCCACAACCCCAGCCCCTTTTCTCTTTTCTTCTCTTTTTTAAAATATTGTTTTTAGTTGTTTATGGACCTTAAATTTATTCATTTATTTATATGCAGTGCTGAGAATTGAACCCAATGCCTCACACATGCTAGGTAAGCACTCTACCACTGAGCCACAAACCCAGCCTTCTTTTCTTTTTAAAGACAACTTATTGAGGTACAATCCACATACCATACAATTCATTCAAGTGTACAATTCAACAGATTTTTTTTTAGCATATTCAGAGCTACACGTGCACCATCACAATTCACTTAGAACATTTTATCATATCCAGGAGAAATCCTGTACCCCTGAGCAGTTACTTCCCATCCCCCTCAACACCCTCAACCCCTGGCAACCACTACTTGACTTCCTATCTCTATGGCTTTGCCTATTCTGGATATCTAATATGAATGGAATCATACATATGTGGTCTTTTATATATGACTTCTTGCACTGAGCATTTATTAAGTTTGTCTAGATTGTAGTATATGTCAGAGTTTCATTCTTTTTTTTTAAACTTTATTGAATTTATTTATTTTTATGCGGTGCTGAGGATTGAACCTAGTACCTTATGCATGCAAGGCAAGCACTCTACCACTGAGCCATACCTCCAGCCCCTCATTCTTTTTTGTGTGTATAAATAATATCCTATTATATGGATAGGCCCCAGGTTGTTTATCCATTTATCTGTTGATCAACATTTGGGTTGTTTCCACATTGGCTACTTTGACTAATGTTACTCCAAACATTCTTGTACAAGTTTTTTATGTGGAAGTGGGTTTTCAGTCATTTAGGGTATATTTTTAGGAGTCATATGATAATATGTTTAACATTTTGTGTATCCTCTCTGATAATTCCAATCTTATAATTAAAATATTTAGTTCATTTAATGTAATTACCAAAATACTTGGATTTAAATCTACCATCTTATTCAAAGCAATCTATTTATCCTATATGTTCTACCTTCCCTTTTCTTGCTTTATTCTTACATATTATTTACTCATTTTTCTATTTTTCCCTCCACTGGTATCTTAAAAAGTATATACTTATTTCCTCTCATCTGTTGCATGTTTCTTTAGAGATAAAACATGCATCCTTGGCTTAGCTATGGATAATATGATTTGGAATTTTATTCATAAGCAAGGAAAGGACCTTAAAATGCTTTAACTTGATTTACCTCCTTCTGACTTAAAACGTTCATGTATTTAATTTTATATGCATTTTATTTGGTTATGATAAAAATTCTGGTGTATAACTTTTATTTATTCACACACACACATACACACAAAAGAATAAAAAGTATATTCACTTAGAAAAGTTGACTTCATGGGGCTGGGGTTGTGGCTCAGTGGTAGAGTGCTTGCCTGGCACGCATGAGGCACTGGGTTTGATTCTCAGTATCACATATAAATACATAATAAATAAAGGTATTGTGTCCATCTGCAACTAAAAATATTTTAAGAAAAGAAAGAAAAGTTGACTCCAACCAAAAATGCAAGACAGGTTTCAATGAGCTTAGATTTCCTGGTATACTATTTCTAACCCTAAAGTAGAAGTAATGCATTTTCAACTTACATGCCTATATTTCTGACACAAGTTAAGTGGATGGAAGAAAACTCAGAATACTTCCAAGTAAATCTGGGAAGCCACAGCAGAAACCTAAGATTTCTTGGAAAGAGTGTTAAATGGGAAGCCTTTAATCCTACCTGGATATTGTTTTTCTGTGTGATTCTCACAAATCACCTTCAAAGATTGGACTACCCAGTAACAGGTATGGCAGTAAGTCCAGTAGGGTGGATATAAGGACCATGTGAATAATAGTAAAAGAAAATCAAGGACCAGATGCTGAGACATTTATATGTATTTTAAATCTCATAAAACATTATTATTATTTTAGCCTTGTCTCGTCAAAAGCCACACATTTACCCTTTTCATTAGGAGTCAGAATCACTCTTCATTTTTTTCTGTTCTTTGAGCTCCTTCCAGGATCATTTTCTTTCTTCCTGAAATTTACTCTTTATTACTTCCTTTTGCCTACATCTATTGGTGACAAACTCTCAGGTTTAATTTACCTGAAAGTCTTCCTAGAAAATCTTTATCTTTTTTAGTGCTGGGGATTGAACCCAGAGTCTCACACACGTTAAGCAAGCATTCTACCACTGAGTTACATTCCCAAGCCAAAATGTATTTTGTTTTTGGGTGGGTCAGGGTACTGGAGATTGAACCCGGCAATGCTTTACCATTGAGCCACATACCCAGCCTTTTTTTTTTTTTTAATTTTTTATTGTTGGCTGTTCAAAACATTACATAGTTCTTGATATATCATATTTCACACTTTGATTCAAGTGGGTTATGAGCTCCCCTTTTTACCCCATATACAGATTGCAGAATCACATCAGTTACACATCCATTGATTTACATATTGCCATACTAGTGTCTGTTGTGTTCTGCTGCCTTTCCTATCCTCTACTATCCCCCCTCCCCTCCCCTCCCCTCCCCTCTTCTCTCTCTGCCCCCTCTACTGACATTCATTTGTCCCCCTTGTATTATTTTTCCCTTTTCCCTCACTTCCTCTTGTATGTACTTTTGTATAACTCTGAGGGTCTCCTTCCATTTCCATGCAATTTCCCTTCTCTCTCCCTTTCCCTCCCACCTCTCATCCCTGTTTAATGTTAATCTTCTTCTCATGCTCTTCGACCCTACTCTGTTATTAGTTACTCTCCTTATATCAAAGAAGACATTTGGCATTTGTTTTTTAGGGATTGGCTAGCTTCACTTAGCATAATCTGCTCTAATGCCATCCATTTCCAGCCTTTTTTATTTTTCATTTTAAGACAAGGTCTCAAGTTGCTTAGGGCCTCGCTATGTTGCTGAGTTTGGCCCCAAATTTGGCAATCCTCCTGCCGTGGCCCCCTATGTTGCTGGGATTATAGATGTGTGCCACTGCACCTGGCTATGTTTTCTTTTACAGTATAGTTTTATTGTGTATATTATTTCAGGCAGGTTATTTCCTATACCACTGCTGTCTTTTGTTCTCTTGTTTCATTCAGAAATAAGCTGCCAGTCTAAATGTTGTGCTTGTGAATGTGATCCATCTTTTACCTCTGGATCCTTTCCCCCCCTTGTTTGTTAAGTCAAGTTTTATTGATTAAATGGAATTCAGAATATCTTACTAGAAACAGCAGCAAGCCCAGCCAATCCTGCTAATAAAAATGTGGCA